TTCCTGCTGCCTCTGACTGTTCAGACTACTGCTATGTTCCCTTGACTTATCTCATTGCCTCCCGTCTCTTCCTCCTTTATTCTACGTACCAGTCCCAGAAGGATCTTTCCAGAAGATAAATCAGATAATATTACTTCCTTACTCAGAAGCATTCAGTGGTTCCTCATGACCAGTTGATGGAAATCTAAGCCATCTGGCCCCAGCCTACTGCCCAACCTCATCATGCTCGCGTGCAAGAACATGTACACATACGTACACATATACATACACACATGCAACACACACACACACACACACACACACACATCTTTGCGTATGAAATGCCCCAGGTCACGCTGCAATATACAAACTCTCCTTTTTCAGGCTCTCCCCGTATTCTGAATGCCCTTCTCCCACACACACATATTTGACCACCTCTACCGGGGAACCCTCACTAATCCTCCCTGCTCCTGACCACCCCGGTAGATTAAATACTCCCTCTTCAGCTCCTCCACAGCATTTCACACACACTGTTCAAGGCACTCACACCCCCGCCTCACAGGACGGTTATTTACAAGCAGGCCAAGCTTCGGCTCTCTGCACCCTGAGTATCCACCTCTACTGCGGCCCTTGCCCCGTGCCGTCCTGATTGTCCGCGCACATGGTGGTTGTTCCACTCCCCAGAGCTCTGCACAGGCTGGGGCCGGGCCTGCCTCAGTGTCCAGAACAACAGAAAGACGATGAACATTCGATGAATGAGCGAATGGGTGATCCCTCCTCTGGTGTGAGAGCAGAGCTTTGCCAGGTTCATCTTTGTATATTCCCAGCATCTAACACAAGTCACGGCCCCAGATAGGGGCTCGGTACATATGTCTTGAATTGTTAACTGCGTTTCTGCACACTCATTTAGAATTCCATCAGAAAGCCAGACCCCTCCTTCTTTTCAAATTCTATCCATTGCAGCCACAGGGGTAAAGAGGAAAGGGGAGGGGGCTTGTCGGCTGAGCCTCACAGAAGGTCTGTATCATGGTGGTCAGTGGGCCTGCCTGTAGGTCTCCACGTACAACTCCACGTACAACCCTCTCCTTCAGAGATGGGTAACAAGCCCCAGGATCCTGGAAATTGTTTTCTTTTCTTTTCTTTTTTTTTTTTTGAAATTGTTTTCAAGGCTAGCTCTTAACTGCCCCGGCAATTCACTCATGGAATGTTCTTTCGTGTTTGGCCTTTAGCGCTAAAAGACTAAACAGACATTTTCATTAGAAGGTACACAAAATGTCTTGCTCACCATCAACCGCCCCCTGCCGACTTTGAGTTCCCCGGGGCGCAGGCCCCAGCTTGTTCATCTCTGCATTCCCAGCACCTAAGTACAAACAGCAGGTGCTCACTAGATGCTGATCCCAGAACGGTGAACAAGATGCTGGACACAGAACTCTGGCCAAATGACTCGATCCCGTTTCTCCTGTGAGAGACACATTCCAAAAGTCAGGGGTTGGATGTTTCGTGTTCACATCAGCCCCTCTGGACCCGCAGCTGCACACAGCTCGCAACTTACGTTTCCCACTCTAATCTGCCGGTCATTATTAAAAAATGTCTCTCGACCCAGGCCATCTCTATCTGCTTCTGTAATACGTCTAACACGACCCCGTTTCTTCCTACTAAAACAGCAACCGAAAAGCCCCCAGAGTTAGACCTACGTAATTAACATCTTCAGCACTTCAGATTTCTGCTATGCCTCTAAGAGCTATAATTTCATCCAATTTTAAAATTCACCCAACCGTACATTTTGTCTTCTTCCCACGTCTAACTTATTCTCAGGCCATGTAACCCAGAAAATGATTCCGGTAGGCAACGTTGTAAGAATTAAGTCACAGCAAAGCTAAGGGTAAAACCTCATGCGTTTAGGCTGAACTTGCCCAGCTCCGCACGATGGGGAAAAGAGACAGGGGGACAGAGGAGATGGAGAGATGAGAGGAAGTATGGGCCCTGAGCCAACAACGGCAGGAGGAAAACCCCTCCGCCCAAAGACTTCTTTGCAGAAAACGAGATCTTTTTAAAACCTTGCCTTCTATACACCACAGAAAGCCTATAAATGCGCCTCTCTAGGAACATGATCTCAGGCCGACCGAGCACCAGGCGGTGGGGAAAATGGCTGGCGTCGTGGGACAATCTTCGGTTGCTAGAGGGGTTAGATGGGTATGAGCCACGATTACTAAAATTACAGCCGGTTTGGGGTCAGAGAGCTCAGTGCGAAGTGTGGTTCTCACCGTGCAGGATCGATTTCCAAATGGCCTCTTTTACCTCATCCCTGCTCACCCCATACTTGACTGCTGCTACCCAAGCCGCACATCGCCTTTCCATGTGACGGGAGAAAGGAATTCCAAAGCCTTTACACTTGGGGGAGATGGCGCAGAGCGAAATGCCCCCGTGCTCCTTATGTGCAGCCAGGCCCTGCTGCTAAGCTCCCTGGTTCTTCCTTTGACCTAGATTTCCCACCTTCCCCACAGGCCCCTCACCACACACGTACCCACACGCCCTTAGTGATGCCAACAGTCACATTTGATGTCAGAAACTATAGAGTTTTCTTTTCTCAGCAATTCTAGAACTCAAACATGGGACACACTTTCATTTCTTCAGAACACGTGATTACATTCAAAACATACACATATAACACTTTAAAGAACTTATAAACCCTTCCGTGTCCTTCAGAGCTGGAGTTCTCCCTCATAAGAATATCACATTTTACAGAATTATATTTAAAAACACAGCCTGTACTCTCTGAAGGACGTCCAGGTACCAGGGCGCATTTGATCCTTGCATCAGCTCCATGAGGTGCCGGCCAGTTTTTATTGCCCCCATTTTGCAGATGGTAGTTGACTCGCCTGAGGTCAGACAGCTAGTGACAGGACCAAGCTAGAACCCAGGCCTTCTCATCCCAAACTCAGGAACGATATTAGAAATAGGTCAACCCTGCTTCTCAATTACTTAGCTCTCTTCAGCTCTCTTCCCATCTCTGGGAGGGAGAAGCCAGAGGCTTCAAGTCCACCCACTTTTGGATGAATCGACTCCGAAATCTAGCTCCAGCCCCCACTTCTCCGCTGAGCCCCACATACATCTCCAACGCTCGCTAATCCTTCCTTCTCAGAGCGTCCCGGGGCAACTTGATTCCCGTACAGGCGACCTGAAGTCTGTGAGTTTTCCCTCAGACCTGCTCCTCCTCCTGTATTTTCTATTTTAGTAAAGGCATCGCCACCCACTCAGTCTCCCAAGCCAGAAATCCGGAGCCATCCCAGAATCCCCTTTCTCCCTAGGCTCTGCGAACAATCAGGAAGTCCTGCCCGTTTGTGCTTCCTGATTCCTCTGAAATCTGTCCTCACCTGTTCTCAGGCCAGATCCCCTTCGTCTCTTGCCTAGATGGCTACACGCGTCTTCCTACACTTTCTCCCCTGACTTTACCTCCCAATCCATCTTCACGCTCTGATACAGCATGCCGTTCTTAACTCTGATTCTCACTGTGCTATTGCCCTGCTGAAAATCCTTTCATGGCTCCCCATACATTTCAAGATAAAAATCCAGGCTTTTCAACGTGGGCTACAAGGCCCCGTGCCCCTGGTTTCCCCTCTCTCTTCTCCTGGAGTCACAATCTAAACTGCCCCCTGACTGAGGTGTTTTGTCCCCAGAATGCACCTTCCTTCCTCACTCCCCAGAGGTAGTTCTTTTGCCATCAGACTTCGCCTGGGTAGCTTCTTTCACTGCCTGGGCAACTCCTTTCACTGCCTGGGCAACTCCTTTCACTGCCGCCTGGGCAACCCAGATGGCCTCTCCTCTGGGCAACCTTTCCTAGCCATCTTCTGCTTTCCTCTTTATTATTGCATGACATTTTCACCTACAAGAAACAAAAACTAAAATTGGCTTAAACGACAACAGAAGATTTATAATTTCTCCTGCAAAGTCCAGAAGTAGGAGGGCTCCTGGGTGGCTAATTCAGCGGCTCCATGACATCGCCAAGTTTCTTCTCATCTTTTTGTTCTGCCATCTTCATTTTGAATTCTTGTTGAGTCTGCGCTACATATTTTAGAAACGTTCTCAGTGGGGGGGGGGGCAAATATTTGTCTTTTGATGGCAAAAGATTTTCTGAAATAACCAGAAGCCACATAGAGCCACGTCTGGAGGGTCATATGAGTAATCAGGGCAGGTGATGACATTTGGGGTCATGGTCGAGGTAAGACCCTACAGTAATGAGACAGAACTTCTGGTTTTGCCTATGATCTGGGTCTAAAAGCAAGTTTAGAAAAGGCATTCCAGGTATGTTGAGTTATGTCCAAACTCTTTGTGAAAACATGGAGTGTGAACACCAAGAGTTACTGTTTTCAAAGCTAGCCCCCCTTGATGTTTACGTTTTAATCTGCTGGTGTAAAAAAGGAAGAGCAAATTAAAATTGTAAAAGGTTCCTTGTTACCTGGCAGAGAAGGGGAAACTACCTGCCTAGATAAGGAGCTTAAAGTGCTAAGATCTGGGACACGAATCTCCCAAACAGAAGGAGAAAAGGGGTTCAGGGAAGCCCCTGAGCCCTGAGTCTGGGAGGCCACGCCAGGGTGGGATCGTATGAGTGGGTGGCCCACGTGGACAGGTGGGGTCATATGAGTGGGTGGCCCACGTGGACAGAAACAGCTTGGGGTCAAGGGAAGCCAAACTCCAAAGATAAGCCAGCCGCTCCCCACTCGAGTGGCTGTGTGGCTTCTTCGGCTTATTTTCCTCTAAATCCCAGAGCGCTTTCTTTGGCCTGCAACCCCTTTCTCCCGCTCCTTGGAGTCCTCCCCACAGTGTCTTTGTCCTTCCTCCTCCTCCCTATAGATCTTAAGTAACCAAGAGGAGTGGTTCAAGGCAGAGCTTAAGAGCCAAGAAGGATACGTGCCCAAGAATTTTATAGACATCAAGTTTCCTGAGTAAGTATTTCCAGCCTGCTGAGATGGGCCTGCCCCACACACTCCCCTGTACTGCAGCAGCCACTAAAACTATCCCGGCACAGCCCGGAAGCTGTCAAAAGTGGTTGCCTCTGGAGAGGGAACCACGCGGCTGAAGGCCAGGGGTGGGAGGGAGATTCGCATTGCACAGCATTCTTGTTTGAATTTTATACCATGGGCAAGAATCACCTATTTGGGGCTTCCCTGGTGGCGCAGCGGTTGAGAGTCCGCCTGCCGATGCAGGGGACACGGGTTCGTGCCCCGGTCCGGGAAGATCCCACGTGCCGCGGAGTGGCTGGGCCCGTGAGCCATGGCCGCTGAGCTTGCGCGTCCGGAGCCTGTGCTCCGCAACGGGAGAGGCCACAACAGTGAGAGGCCTACGTACATCTTTAAAAAAAAAAAAAAGAATCACCTCTTTTAAGTTTATAAACTAACTTCCTGTATAATTGCAACCATGGGGTTTCCAAGAATTCCGGGGGTGGCGCTGGGGGGCGCTCTCGGCCACTCCACCTCAACAGCTGCTCCTTCAGGGCTCTTCTCTTTTATCTCCCAACCCACCCACCATCCCAACCAGGAGGACGAAGCTCTCGGCCTTCCTGAAACCATGTTCACACCAGTGAGAGAGGTCAGGGAAATTCCCTCCATAAAGAGGAAACGAAAAATTGAGATTGGGTCACGTGCGTCTCAAGAATTGACCACAGGGGTGAGATAGAAATCTAACGTTGTGTGAGTGTCAGGGTCTAGCTGAAGAGCAAAGGTTTGTTAGGTATTGGTGACTATGGTGAGGAACCAGCAGTGACCACTGAACCAATAGAATGACCACTGACCTCAGCCAGGGAGCCCCTGAGGCTGCCCTGTCATCTTCTAGGTGAGCACGGCACACCTGCAGCCCCTCTTCCACCGCGCTCTCGGCGGATGGCCTGGCTTCCAGGACAGCGGAGGCCCCCAGAAAAACCCCTCGACCCCACCCAAGCTGACTCGCTGCATCCACCCACATCCTGCAACTGCGCAGACACTGCCTTTCCTGCAGTTGTTTGGAAAGAACCGTCTGCGCTTCGAGCAGAAGTTCTCCCCTGTCTCGCGCATCAACTTGCCTCCCTCTGCCAGATCATTCCCGGCAGCAAACAAAGATGCCGCAGTTTCTCCCATCTTACCAGAAACCAAAAAGCGAAACCAAACAGCAAAACCCTCGATCCCGAACCCCCTTCCAGCTACGACTCCACTTTTTCAAAAGAATCGTTATATTTGCCGTCCTAAAGTCCTCTCCTGCCATTCTCCCTGGAACCCACACAACTTCAAGGGCACTGTGAACTGCTGGTCCCAGTGGCCGATCGTAGGCCATCACGTCAGCACAATTGGATGTGGGGAGCCTCTGCCTCTTCCTTTGGCTTTTACAGAACAACCTTCTTCCTGGTTCTCTTCCCGCCACCCTGGCTGCTCCTTCCCCAGCTCCTTTGCCCGTTTCTCCTCGCCTCGGCCTCCCCCGTCTCCTTTACAGTTAGAATGTCGCCCTCCCAGTGAGACGCCCCCCATCACCATATTTTGAATGACTCCCCCACCCCATCCCTCCTCTGTTTTCATTTCCTCCACAGCACTTACATCAGCTGACGCACCTAATATTCTAATTACGTTGTTGTTTATGGTGTGTCTCTCCCCACCGCACTAGAATATAAGAAGTTCCATGAGGGTCCTTGTCTGTGCTGCTCACCACTGCATCCGCTATATCCCCAGAAGGAGGCTCAGCACAGAGTAGATGTTTAATAAAAGCTGTTAGCTATGAATGAATAGCTTTTGGAACGATGTGTAATAGGAAAACCTGGCACTCGTTTCATATGCAGTGTGTGGACATTTTTGCAAGTCTTGAGGGAAGTCACTTATCAAATTCCAGATGGAGGACAAGTGTGTATTTTCTAAACAGTCCCCTCACTGTTTGCCGCCTCTTCCGAGATATCTCCTCTGAGGATGGCTGCTGTGGAGGGGGTCCCATTCTCTTCCCCTCCCCATTACATTTCCTGTGGTGGCCAGTCATCAGCACGGTAGGTTTGTATGGCAGACACTCTGGCAGGATCTCCAGGCAGATGACTGGCAGAAACCCTCCGCTTCCGGCCCCTCAGAGCCCGACCAACCTTCCCCTGCAAGTCCCAGGTCTGGAGGAAGGACATTCTTCCGCCACCCCTGTCTGTTCAGTTCCTACATTCCAAAGAGCACAGGGAACTGCTCACAAAGGAATCCAAAGTTGTGGCCTGTTGCACCTTCATCTTAAAGGGACACACATACTGGCTTTCCAGGGGCGGCAATTAGAGCAGCCACCTTGCAGCAAAAGGACACCACCCCACCTTTGGCCGCTGAGGGATTGCAAATACTTGTTCCGCTTCTCTATGGTTGAGAGAGGTTTCTGGCCTCCTGCCCCGTGGCCGTAGCCACTGTTTGACTTGCCCCTGTGCAAGTGTTTGGCCTTTATCATATACGCTGTACCCCCTGCAGCAATGCTTCCAAAGGCTGCCAGCCTGAAAAAGCAGTTTTTCCTTGGTTTCTTCTTTTCCAGGATAAAGATTATTTTCCAGCCTGTTTTTTGGGGAGGGCCCAGGAGCTGGCTGTGTAGACGCCTCTCTCTGGCTGCTACCAGCCTCGCTTATTTCCAAGTGTGTGTGCAGGCCTCCCTGGGTGCCCTGCAGCCTCTGCCAGGCACGGAGCACAGCCGCTCCCGCTCCACGCCACCCAGGGGCCCTGGGCTGTGACTCTCTTTCCCAGCCACCAAGGTCTCAGCCCGGAGCTGGCACCCAAGGCCCTGCCCATTGCCCCCAGTGCCCCAAGGGGTCCCTGTCCCTGCAGTTCTTTTCTAGAGATATCCCTCTCACAGCTGCCGGCAGGCAACCACTCCCCGCAGTGAGTCACTCCCACGCTGTCGCGTTTGGTACAGTGGCACATTTCCATGATTCAGGATTTCCAAGCAGGAGAGAGACTTCTCCTGGGGGGGACGGGACAGGAAGTGCCTCAAGGGGAGCACTCACTTGCCTCGCCTGCAAACTGCTGGAGCGTTTGTTTAGTTTCAAAAGCACCTGGCCCCTCTTTGGTCTCTGTCTGCTCTCTGCTGAGCAGTCCCCAGCCTCTCTCCCTTTGGGTCATCTCTCCCCTACTTCCTTCCCTCCCTACCCTCACCCCTGCCATCACTCTGGCGCCTCACCAAGATCATCTGCTTTTATCTCACCTGATAGATGGTTTCACGAAGGCCTCTCACGACACCAGGCAGAGAGCTTGCTGATGGGCAAGGAGGTTGGTTGCTTCATCATCCGGGCCAGCCAGAGCTCCCCAGGGGACTTCTCCATATCTGTCAGGTACCGGCTGTTCCCGACTCCTCCCTGACCTACTAAAGCACTAAAGCAGCAAGGTGACCTCTTGAACATGACCTATTCCTCAGGAGCATGGCGGCCAAGGGGCCCAGGCATCTTATCAACTGTGATGCTGTGCATTTTCTTTCCATAACACACGTACACAACTCCTTAGTTTGTGGCCCAAATTACATGTGCGTTCATCTGCCTCCCCCTCCAGCCCAGGTGCTTCTGGAAAGAGAGGATTTTTATCAGCTTCGTCTCTGTGCCTTTTATAGCACCCTGTACCCAGTGGGTGCCGGATGAGTATCTGTGGAAGGCGTGGGAATGGAGAAGGAAAAGAGAATTCCCGACTGTCCCCATCCGCCTTGGGGTTGCAATCTTAACCTTTTCTTTCACTACTGATGCTTGTTTGAAGAAGGGTAGAGAAAAATCAAAACCCCAAGTCACCGCCATAGGACACATCTGTAGTTGTAAGTGGCTGCACAAAACGAAAGGCTACCTCCACGCCCCGTAATGCAGCAAGACTGACAGGAACAGAGCAGAGCCCAGGAGTCCTGGGGTGGGGGGACTGTGACAGCAAAGTCTCGTTAATGTGCAGCACCCCCGGGAGGAAGTGACTCAGTTTAACACAACACAGCCCCACACGCAGAAGCCCCAAGTCTGAACACACGGCATGTGGTCAGCGTGTTGGGGATCTCAAGTCACACGTTGGACTTGGTGACCACATGCGAAAGTGCAAGAATTATGGTGATAGCCGTACAGGGGTTGGCGCGGCAACCTGTACAGGGAGACCTCACTGTCAAGTTACCTGACCAGAAGTGCTGTCTGGATTCTGCAATATAATCTGAAAGGTGTGCAGCTTTAAGTTCATAAATCCAATCTCGGGTAATAAACGGAGGCCACTTTACTATTTAGAAAGAAAGTGTCCTGTAAGGAATAAGTAGGAAGGACTTAAAAATAATGGGTCAACCATTTGTATGCATTTGTGCCCCCAACGTGCTCAAGAATAGCTTGGTCTCCTAAGCATTGCCCCTGCAGGCTGACTTAAACTTCATTTCCCTTAACTAAACCTTCCTTTTTCACATCTTGGGTGATGGTAAATTTTAGCTCAGGCCAATATTGATGTATCACAAATTCTAAACTTGTTAGGTCTTAATTAATGAGATTTTGCTCTATTAATAAATCTTGCAAGTCAAACCTATTTCTTAAGGGCCACAATTCGAGGCAAGACCAAGCAAATTGTTCGACTGAAAGGCATTTCTTGGTGCCTTTGGTTTGCATGATGTTGCTGAGTCTGGCTTTTTCAGTGAGGAATTAGGGTTTCTAGTTCCTTGATTAAATTGAATTCTACAAAAAACGATCAGCCTTGACGTCTGCTACAGTCTTCCCCTGCCGTCGAGGCCATGCAGCTTCTCGTGATGGTGACTGTTACTGTAATCAGTATTACCTCTTCTGCAGAAATGTAGTATAATACATTCCAAAGCAGAATCATTTTTATTTATTTATACGTCTGCTTTCTGTCATGGGCACAGATAATTAAGATCTAATTGTAGTTCTATCACTTAGCATTTGTTAGGGGTCTGAAATACTAGACTTTAGAGTCTGGAGCCCTGAATTACACCCTTTCTCTGCCCCTCTCAGAACTTGAGACAGTGGTCCAGCCACTCTCTCTCCAGCACCCAGATGACCCACTGCAGCCCTGACATCCATCCTCTCAGCACATGGGAGTGAAAGGGTTAATGTTTCTCATTCTGAGTTCTTTGACTAAGAGGTGGTGGATGAATAATTGTTTCACAAGAATATTTCCTCCTCCTCACCCCGATGTGGGGAGTGATGGCTGTGAGTTGAGCCACGTGGTATTGCCCTGAAGAAAGCATATGTGAGTGAGCACAGCCAAAAGGGGAAGAGCAAGCAATGATTGCCAAAGTGTTGGCTACGACCCTCAAGGTGGTTAAGCAGAGGTCACTGCATGGGTTCACCAGGCTATGAGCAGAGACCCACACAAAAGATGAGAAGAAAGATCAGAATTCCTGTCTCCTGGCTTCTCTGGTGGCGCAGTGGTTAAGAATCTGCCTGCCAATGCAGGGGACACGGGTTCGAGCCCTGGTCCGGAAAGATCCCACATGCCGCGGAGCAACTAAGCCTGTGCTCTACAGCCCGTGAGTCACAACTACTGAAGCCCGCACGCTTAGAACCTGTGCTCTGCAACAAGAGAAGCCACGGCAATGAGAAGCCCACACACTGCAACGCGGAATAGCCCCCACTCGCTGCAACTAGAGAAAGCCTGCACTCAGCAACAAAAACCCAATGCAGCCAATAATAAATTAATTAATTAATTAAATAAGTAAACTTTTAAAAAAAGAATTCCTGTCCCCTCTGAACACTGACCATGAAATCCATCCCTAAGAACGAAGCATCTTTACTGTTCAACATGCTTTAAGTTTGTGACCTTTCTTCTGCCATCAGGCAACTGGTATCATTAACGCCAGTTTATTTTTAGACATAAATGTGTATCCATTTGACAAAAAAAAACTTGACATCCCAACAAGAATGACTTGGTGATGGAAAAAGGCTGGAGCTATTAGTAAAGGCCCAGTCCCCTCTTTCCAATGAATAAAATCCAATTTCTCCATCCCTGGTACAAACATGCTCCATCACTTGTGAGTCCAGCTGGTGTCAAAGGTGCTGATCTAAAAGAAGTTAGCATGAAAAAATAATAATAATAAAAAACAAAAGAAGTTAGCACGTGTGCATGGTGTGACAGGCCCAGCTCATTAGACTGGAATCAGAGACCCCGGGTCCTTGTCTCAGCTCTGCCACTCACTCACAGTGACCTTGACAAGGCCCCTCCACCTCTTTGAGGCTCAGCACATTTTTTCCCAAAAGCTCAAAATACTTTGCAACCTTATTTATGCAAAACAAGTCCAAGAGATACCCATTATGTAGAGAACAAAGCGTGGCAGATTTCTCAGGGTAGTTTATGGGCTTAAAGGAGCTGGTTCAAACTATCTTCTGTTAACAGACAGGTAACGAGGGCTTGAAAAACTCCTCTCCTCTGAGTCTTGGCAGAGTCCTTAGCCTGGTAAGTTCTCAGGTGTTGCCATGTTTCAAATAAACATTGTAAAAAAAAGTCCTTGACCTTGTAGTCTTTAAAGCACTGGGAACATTATTTTCTTATAAAACGTCAGTTCCAGTGTCAGAAGAAAGATTACCTTCTCCTCATGTTAAAAAAAAAAAAAAAATCCCCTCTAGCTCAGCCTGTGTCCACAGCCATCCCTCCCACAGGTCTCCCCTTGGAGTTTGCCTGGGCCAGCCCACCTGCCCAGGAATGGGCCAGCCACCCATATCTCTGCTCCCTGCCCAAACAGAACTCCAGCATCCCTGGATGCAGTCAGCCCTGGAGGCAAGGACATGGTCATCATGTAATAGACAATTTGGATTTGCCTTGATCCCTAGGCATGAGGGAGATGTTCAGCACTTCAAAGTCATGAAAGACAACAAGGGTAATTACTTCCTGTGGACAGAGAAGTTTCCATCCCTCAACAAGCTGGTGGACTACTACAGGACAACTTCCATCTCCAAACAGAAGCAGATCTTTCTGAGGGATAGGACCCAGGAGGAACAGGTATGCTGCAGGTCCCCATTGGCCCCAGTCCAGAGATTCTGGGCAGCTCGGGTCCTACACGAACCACCAAGACCATGCATCTGATGGGCAGGTCCCTGCGTATTCTGAAAGGCAGAGATCTCAGTTTAAATCCTACCTTAACACTTCCTAGGTATGTGACTTTGGAAAGTTCTCTAATCCTCAGTTTCCTCACCCATTAAAATTGAGATAATAGTGATAGCTACCTCATAGGATGGTGTGAAGGTTAGAGAAGATAATGTATCCCCATTCCTTGCATCATTCCTAATCACGCCACAGGCACTCAGTACACATGGGCTCTTATTATGGATGCTCTTATTTTGTTATTCACAGATGTTACTATGTCACAGTTTTCAGCCGAGCTCAGGAGCCGCCCAAGAATGAAGGTGGGGGGAGGATGGGGGGGCACTATACATGGGGATATTAGAGCCTAGAGTCCAGGACTAATACAGCAGGTAGAGCTTTGTGGCCGAATTTGGGGATGGGGGAGGGTAGAAGCAGGGGGCATTGGAGGAGAAAACTGGAGGTGGGTTTCTTGCTCTTGGAACAGTTTGGGATCTGAAGTATTATTTTAAAGAAAATGCATCCGACAGACCCGGCTTTCTTTAAAACCTGATTTCATTGCAAGAGAAGGAAACTTTCTGAGTATCGGTTTTTCTCATCCATAGAATGGAGAGACTATAATGCCTCCCTCATTGGGCTGTTGTGAGGATAAATGAGACATCATTACAACCCTTGCCACAGGGTCTGGTCTATAGTTGGCACTAAGGAAATGTTAACTAGCCTCCATAAGTAAATTCACACACACACAATCTTTGCAATATGTTTCAAAGGGAATAACATGGTTATAGGAGATGGGTATTACAGGAACAAGCATTGACTAGAAGAGTTGAAATCCCAGAGACAGGTTATTTGAAAAGACATTGAGACTTTCAAAGCAACATGTCCTTCAGGGAAGTGAAGAAAACCATCCCTTGCAAGTAATGGGTTGATTTAAAGCCTGAGAAGTTACAATCAAAGGA